AGGTCTGAAGTAAGATCTGGATGACCACTGGACCACCACCCTCAATTCTGTAAGTGGAGTAGACACATTTGTCCTGAGGGGTGGAGGGGTGGAGGGGTGGGGGTGGAGGGGTGGGGGTGGAGGGGTGGGGGGGAGGGGTGGGGGGGGGGAGGGGGTGGAGGGGTGGAGGGGTGGAGGGATGGAGGGATGGAGGGGTGGGGGTGGAGGGGGCGGAGGGGGTGGAGGAGGAGGGGTGGAGGGGTGAGGGGGCGGAGGGGTGGGGTGGAGGGGTGGAGGGGTGGGTGGGGGGGGTGGAAGGGTGGGGGGGTGGAGGGGCGGAGGGGTGGAGGGGTGGAGGCCAAATACGAAAACATGCGGATTTAAACTGGTCTTTTATACTACCTTTCTTGCCGTGGCAGGTTGGCCGCCCTCCACTCATTTAAAAATCGGCACCGTAGTCGTCGTAGTAGTAGTAGTAGTAGTAGTAGTAGTAGTAGTAGTAGTAGTAGTAGTAGTAGTAGTAGTAGTAGTAGTAGTAGTAGTAGCAGCAGTAGCAGTAGCAGTAGCAGTAGCAGTAGCAGTAGCAGTAGCAGTAGCAGTAGCAGTAGCAGTAGCAGTAGCAGCAGTAGCAGTAGCAGTAGTAGTAGTAGTAGTAGTAGTAGTAGTAGTAGTAGTAGTAGTAGTAGTAGTAGTAGTAGTAGTAGTAGTAGTAGTAGTAGTAGTAGTAGTAGTAGTAGTCTAGTAGTAGTAGTAGTAGTAGTAGTAGTAGTAGTAGTAGTAGTAGTAGTAGTAGTAGTAGTAGTAGTAGTAGTAGTAGTAGTAGTAGTAGTAGTAGTAGTAGTAGTAGTAGTAGTAGTAGTAGTAGTAGTAGTAGTAGTAGTAGTAGTAGTAGTAGTAGTAGTAGTAGTAGTAGTAGTAGTAGTAGTAGTAGTAGTAGTAGTAGTAGTAGCAGTAGGAGTAGTAGTAGAAGTACTAGTAGTAGTAGTAGTAGTAGTAGTAGTAGTAGTAGTAGTAGTAGTAGTAGTAGTAGTAGTAGTACTAGTAGTAGTAGTAGTAGTAGTAGTAGTAGTAGCAGTAGGAGTAGGAGTAGTAGTAGTAGTAGTAGTAGTAGTAGTAGTCGTAGTCGTAGCAGCAGCAGTAGCAGTAGCAGCTTCAGCAGCAGCTTCAGCAGCAGCCCGCGTAGCTGTAGCAGTAGCAAAAGAAGAGGGCGCGTGCGAACCATAAAACGAAAGTTTGTTTGGAACCGTGAAGCAGAAAATTGCGCACCACCCCTTAAAAAAGGGAGGCAGCACGTGAAAACCAACTGCAAACTTTCCCGTTGGTTCTGAAGGAATGTGCTAACCTTTCATTCTGCAGTTACTTCGTTCGTTCGTTCCGCCTTTCTTTGCAATAGTAGCAGTAACAATAGAAAGTAACAGTAATGGTCGTCATAGCATTAGTAGTAGCAATAGCGAGAGCATGCCAAAAGGCAAGAAGAAGCCAAGAAAGCAGAAAGGCCGAAGTCTCTGCTCGAATCTCTCCATCACTCTGCCCTTCCTTCTGCAGCGCTATCTTTGAAGAGCAGCGATCCTCCTTGCCCTTCTTTTTGTAACAGATTTAGAGTCAGAGGGGAATCCCCCTTGAATGTGTCCTGGTGGTGATTGCATTTTTCTTCACATGCCTCTCTCAGATTCTACAGAACCCCCGCCGACCTGAGCGTTTCCTGAGCGCGCGGCCACCTATCGGAGAGAAGTGGCCGGCACCACTCTGGCCCAGGAACTCGCGCGAGTAGCAAACCACAAGGCCTTGTCAAGGTGAAGAAAAGAAGGTGAAGAGATCTAGATCCACATTTGGCTTCCGAGCGTCCTGTCTGAAACGCAGCTGCTTCAAGTCTCTCTTGTCTGACCGCTAACAGCCGCATCAACATTTGGCTTAATTGAGATAGGCTGCATTCTCGCTCGGAGCTTCGGCTGACGCTGCGAGCAGCCTCGCGGAATGCAGCCGTGAAGGCCGTAGCCTGCCAGCACTGCTCGGGCCCAATATGCCGAACCGGAAGCAGCCATACTGCAACCACACCTACCTAAAACTTGTGCAAATCGATGCCTCGGCCTCGGACGCCGCCGATGGGGCAGGACAACTGTCGACCTGCTGATGCAACCAAGACCGAACCATCTCCGGTGGGTTCAGCTTGTTGCTTCTTACTCAGCCCATTAAAATGAATGTCAGGTCCGGAGCACCAGGAACTCCAGTCTCGATCAAAGGTTCTTTTGGTTTCCTGGTGGTGCTGTTCTCCTGTTATTACATTCCTCTTGCGGCTTTATGGTACTGTATGAGGTATTCTGATATCACCATAATACCGGAAAGCAACACGGCTGCAAATGTTGCAAAGATAAAGTACATACGTCGCTACGATATCCCCTGCATCTCTGTACACATGAGCTGAAGCAGGCGCAGCGAATCGGAATAGTCGTGGCCTCCGCGCCATTGCAGGCAGCGAGAGATCGAAACATATCCTCACAAAACTCAGAAGGTCGCCCCACCCCAACAGATCTAAGATTAAAGCTGGGACGGGGTCTTGTCACGAATCCTCAAAATTTCTCTGAGTGGCAAAAGAAAGCCCTTCCGCGCGGACTCGCTCCTTGGCTGCCGAGTCCATCTGCTCACTTAGGGCCTACACTTGCCCATGAGCTCGCGACATGTGGATGCACAGGATGCAATGAAAGGAGCCAAGATGAGCTAAGAATCCGGTCCTGTACAACATGCCTCGGCTGTTTAAAGGTCCATGCAGCAGCTAATTAGCAGATAGCAGATGGCTGCAACACTCAATGTGGGCAAAAGGGCACAGAGTGGCCTAGCGTGGCCTTGTGGAGCTAAACTTGCGCACGCCCCGCTGTAGCAGCAGAACTGCCCGTTCCAGCATAGACGTGGGCTGAGCTGAGACAGCGGCAGCTGTGATCTGCTGCCTACTTGTGGTGATTTTTTCTCATACATCAGGCCGAAAAACAATGAATGCATGCCCGCTGTTTAGGATGCCTTACTCCATTTGATGTAGGCATGGATTTAGGACCCCAAAAGCAGCTGGGTGCTCAGACCGAGGTCACTTTAACTGGAAAAATTAGGCAAACCTGAGCCAGAAAAGCCAGACCCAAAGCGGCACAAACCCAAGTCCAACTCAAACAGGGAACCAGCAGTAAATCCCACAACAAAGCTGTGCAGCCATCTTCCTCACGAAGCACTGGAAGGTAGAGTGTCAAGCACAAGGCAGACGCTAAACAGCAACAAGCCGAAGTACATCACATGTGCTGGGCCGATATTCAGAAACGGGGCAGTGTGGGACAAAGAGCCCACAAGTAGCTATCTTCGCAAGCTTACAAGAGCAGGACCAAGGGGCAAGGTTTTGCTCGTTGAACCACCGCCAGGCGCCCTTCCAGGTTCGCATAGGGTCGATGTGGAGGGAGTTCAGGACCATTGCCAGCGTAGTGAGGCCACCTGTGACTCTTGGATTAGTTTTGACTCGTACTATCTCGTACTTCACCTGCGCAGACCCACAAACCCGAGCACCAACAACCCATCACGAATCTTCACATGATCGGGAGTAAGGCACAAAAAGTTGGCTCGTCTTGCGTCCGAAACTGCTCAGCCAGGAAGAAATAATTCTCCATTGTCCCAGCCTTACTCTCACTCTGTGCTACAAAAGCCAACCAACGCGCAAGAAATGCATGCCCCACCCTAGCTCCCTGGCACTTTGTATTTGCGAAAGAAGGTGCCAGCAGCGCTTCGCAGAACAGCCTCCGGCCCTCCGCAGAGGCAAAGGGCACCTGCTCACAGGTACTTCACAGATTCTGGAAAGCGCGGGTCTGTCTGATGGCAAAAAAGCGCCTGTGCTGTTGGGAGCACTCTTTGGTAGAACTGACCCTCGTGCCCGGGCAAGACGGCACCTTTCTGGCACAACGAGATGCGCTCCACGGAACTTTCAAAATGCAAAGCCACCAAGCTTCGATGACATGATACGACAAAGCATGTGGTCGTAGCGTGTGACAAGATGTGTTGCAAAGTTCCTCGGCCCTGATGGCTTTCTCATGCTGAATGGTCGGGCCTCTGTCTTCGGGCAGGCTAGTGCCGAAGTAACTTGCACCAGCATCACGAGGTAATGCAGCCTCGGATGCTGCTGATCGCTTTGAAAAAGCTGTGCTCCTGGTGTGGGTACTGTAGCACCTACGAGGCTTTGTCTCGAGCTGTCGCAAAGTCGGTGATTGAGCGAACTGGTGTGTGTTTAGATGTGACTTAAATTGCGTGATAGATCAAGAACAGAGACCTGTAGATGCCCAGCAGCGTGTCCCTGCGACACTCTTCTCGGCCGCAGCTGTGCTACGGGGATCCTCAGCACACATCTTCACTTGGGCCACAGGCTCAGTCGAACGTATGATGTATCACGCGATGTAATAATACGATACTGCCGGTACGATGATGAACAGCAATGCGGCGTCAGAATGTCACGCGCGATTGAAAACAGCTTTATTTTTATCAAATTACGATGGCAGCTGAGCTGTTGGACTCGTTCTCGGCCGTGGCCGAGAAACAGCGGCAAAGCTGCCTGCACATTTACGGACGTCTCTTTGTGTGCGGAATAGGTGAACGCAGCTCGCTTAACCCGCACTGCACGCTGAGCCTGAAGGCATACCTGGGTCTGGCTCGGCCCAGAAGCCATGGCCCCATGCTTAACGTAAAAACTCGCAACAGCGAAAGAACACTGGATATACACTAGGTCACTGGGTGTGGCGGGCTGGTTCCTCAGCAAGTTCGTTTTGAAAGCTCTTGCCGGTCCTGTGATTCTGCCATGGCTGAAAACATGACAAAGTTGTTTGAGAGAAGCTACACGGCTACAGCTTCTGCAGCTGTGCAAGCGAGGCATCCGCTTGCCGTTCCTTTCTGCAACACCAAGTCTAAGTATTACATACTATCATACTATCGACGAGATGTGTTTCGACAGTTTTCTGGTGCAATGCATTCTGGGCAACTGGATGCACATCTGCCGTTTGAGCCTGGCCATTCGCTTCCTTGAAGCAGTCGCTCACCTGACTTCCTTAGAAGGACTCGCTAATGCCGAAAGCAATATTGGGCAACTCGGGGACTGACCTGCCTTTTCTTGCACTGCCCTGAGGCCATCGCGTGTTCGGTTGGTGTTGTCCGTCAGCGCGTCAATCTGGACGAAAGGCTCAATGTCTCATGGCTGGCGCATGGGATGCTGGCAAATTGGCCTTCCGCTGATTTTTACTCATGAAAACGATCTCTGCTCGAATCAGGAGAACTGGTCTGAGGTGGAGGCGATGATAGCGGCCCCACCGAGACTGAAGCCTATGCGATGATTTCGTGAATGCGGCCCATTATGTACTTGGCACTGCTGCAAAACGTAGTAAGTCATTGGCCTTGAATCTCGAGTTCATTGAAGGCCTCCTTCCTTAGGTGCCCCTCCCGCAACATGTTGGGATGACATGTTGTGAGCGGTTTTGGAATTCAATTGGCACGCGATGATTCCAAGCTGTGCAGTGTGTGTGTGTGTGCCACTAAGCAGATGTGCGATGAGCTTTTTGTCGGAAGCACCGGTGCAGAGCGCCCAAGGAACTGCTTGGTTGAATGCTGCGCTCCATGCCTGACTCGAACAACAATGCAGGATAGGCGCTACAGTTCCTGCCTAGAACCTCACATGCAGAACTGCTTTAACAACAAAGACTGCAGCACGGCAATACTTTCCCAAGCAAGATTTCAACCTGACCCGGCTCATTACGTTCAACAACAAGCTTTGCATGCGCAAGGTTGCTGGGAAGGCCTGTCCTTTTGTAGGGTCATCCGTCGGAAAACTTGCCACCCGCAGTCAATGCAGAAGACCGTGAACATTGTCTTGACTGGCGCCTGGGTAGCCCGGGTGTCAACGTTTGAACTGATGTGCAGGAGCCGTTAGGTTTCCCGACTGCTCGTTTTTCTGATTTTTTCTGATTCTCATAACCAACAGATGTTGCCCTGAGCTGCTTAGCTGCTTCACTAGGATGACTTTCGTCAGGCCTGCTCTTCCCAAGAAGCCTTCGACGGAGCGTACTGGCAGCCGTAGGAGCTGTAGTATTCACATTGTCCTTTTCGCAAAAGGAGATAGGCTTCAGAGGTTTGTCCCATAGCAACCTTTGAAATGCAGAAGTGAACCAAGCACAAAATGAACAAACCAGAAATTGAACCAACCAAAATACACCAACCACAAATGAACCACAAACACCTTAAACACCTTTTGCATCCACCCTTTTGACAGAAAATCCTGAAACCAAACACCAGAAGGTCACATATTACTCACCCAGGCCTCCCCATCGGCCTGCAACGCCGGGGCACAGTTCAAGTTCGCTTGCTGCGCGTGAAGAAGTCCTAGTCAAAGGCGAGCAGAAGCAAGAACGATGTGCTTGGCTTACGCGCCCTTCATGATCAAGCTCACGAGGTTCCGCTTTGTGCGTGCATACTAGGCCGCTAGGATCCGCTAGGCCAATCGAAGTCAGCCCTCTCAGTTGCACCTACAGGATCCATGCAGGCTGCCCGTCCGTCACCCAGTCTTCCACTACCATCAGAAGCTCCAAAGCCTTGCTTTGCACAAGATGCTACTTCGACTGCTGCAGTGAGCAGATCGCACCCGCCTTTGCCGATTGCGATGTAGTGCTGCAGGCGGTAGTCAGTGCTACAAGTAAGTCTCCTCCTGGCAAGACCTGAGCAGCGCAGCGAGTATTCTAGGCTCAGTACTGCGCCGTGACAACTGCCAATTGCAGTCTGAAATGAAGGCCACGGGCTTCTCCATCTAAATGCTCAGGGCGGCGGACAGACATCAACAGCAATATCAGCCACGATCAGCATCAATATCCGCCGCAATCAGCATCTAGATCATAGTTACAACTATGGTATGATGATATCATGTCGTCATCACCATTCTCATGAGGATGATCTTCATCCTCCTCCCCATGTTCATCGGCATCGGCATACGTAGCAACGTAGCATGTTGAACTCAGTTTTGTACACCCACTCGCTTAGTGGCAAGTGCATAGCCCGTTTCAGTCTAGGGCTTTCTTCAAGCGATCCCACTTCGGATAAACGATGCTTGTGAGAAGCAGTCTGAGCGTTGCATCCATACAGAGATATAGAGACTGCCGCGGAAAGACGCAGGGGTGGGAGACGTTGAATCTACCGAGAACAACATTACTTCTTGCCAAAAATGTGCCGAGCCCCGCACCTTGTCCAAGTACATCTCCCCCAACAAGCTGGCTGCCTCTACCATTTCTGGGCACGCAATCAATATCATCTGACGTTGTGAAATGCCTGAAACGCCAGGTGGTTCCTAGAATCCTAGAACGATTTGCCGGCTTCTGGATACCATGCCTGCTGCCACGCTGTGGATGCAGCACATGTAGTCAAAGCCTCTTGCACTCAGCAAGGGGCTGTAAGGCTGTAAGGATCTTTCAAGATTCTAAGTTGAACAAGTGTTGAACACAAAGCAGAAGAGACAAAAACAAAAAAGAGGGAGAGCAGAGTTGGACAGGAAGCGCCGCCGTTGTAGAACTTACACCGAGAATCTATTGGTGTGGCTTTTGTGTTCCTCGCTGGGGGGTTGTTAAATCTTGAACTCACCATTCTCCCAATCGGTAGTGTCCACCATTGGCTTGATGGTGTCGCTTAGGGTTCAGGGTTTCTATGCTTCGAGTTCATAAATAGGGAGGATGGCAGGAAGGGGGGAGGGAGGGGGACGGGGGGGGGGGGGCGCGGGGCGAACTGCGAACATACACGTCTTCTTGTTGCAGGGTTAAAGAGTTTGAGGCAACAACGCCAAACGGCAACTCAAGACGCTGAAGATGGAAACTGAAGGTGTCGTCCAACAGTTTTCTGAAAATCTTCAGGCTTCAACTTGCGAGTGTCCGTCTTAAAACACAAGAGGATCAAAACCAATAAGTTTTGAATCTTCAATCTTCGACTGCTGTCACGTCTCGACGGTTGTGGTAGTTCCCATGTTGTTTTGATCTGTATTTGTTTTCAACTATCTACTGCACCCTGTCTGATGCGACTCGGACAGTTGCTCAGCTTACGCTGCCAATCATTCCCTTATTGGTCGTTATTTCTATTTCATAAGACCTCAACAAGCCAAGAAGCTCGAGAAGCGGCAAGCCGCAACCGCCAAAAGACACGACGAAGGAGCTTAGAGGCAGGAAGCCAGGAAGCCAGAAACCAGGAAACCACAATTTATCAATGTCAGAATGACGACAACACCCAGTAAACCCCAAATACAAATTTCTCTCAGGAACCTTGGGTCTTGCTTCTGGGCCTTGCTTCGTGTCTGAAAATGTCCAAGCAACTGCGCTATAGGTGAACTCGTTCGGGGTGAGCACGGCTGTCCGCATTCCTTGCCTTCAGTGGACAACTTCGTTCAACTTGGTTCAACTCCGCAACAACAGATGGCCTGTCGCTAGGTGCAATGACTTGGCTGCCACAAGCGGGCTATGATGAGACATCAAAATTTAACATTTGTCGCAGCATGCCGAGTCATGTGCCACTAGCCATCGCTAGCCCGTGTGCCGCAGCCCTCAAGAATGGGAGCCAAGGCTCAGAAGTGCCAGTGTGTTTTTCCATAGCCGGCACTTCCCGTATGCCGTCAGCGCTGAACTGTGGCTCACCTCCTGAGGCAGCCGAAGAGAACTTCCATCAACGCGCACGCTGCTAGCACAACCAGTGGCGTTCGTTCGCGGACCGTGAGCGACAACGTCGACGGCTGAGGCTTCCACATGGGCTTCTGCCAGGGCTCACACCAATGCAAGCCATGGGTCCGTCGGAACCAAACGTTGGCTGGGCATCCCAGACCTTACGGAACTCATGCAGACACAGTGTGTGCTCGAACAACGAAGAAGAGCGTGCGTCTTCATGCTGCTTTGCTGGGAATGATTGCCAGGCCACAGAAGCGCGCCAGCAAGGTCCCAAGCCGACACCTTGCAAACACACTCGATCCCTGAGATTGAGATAGCCCTTCCGAAACTGCCAGCTGAGACCTTCTCGCAAGCAGAAATGGCAGCATTGTGGCCCACCTCAGATACGCGGAAAACTCTGCTCTTTATATTGTTGTTTCGGATCCAGTTGGCTTAGGTACGAGGGACTCTCTTGAAGAAGCCAAAGACCGGGGCCTCGTCTGAATGTGGCAGAAGAGAGGTGGCAGCGCGCCATTTGTGGGCCTACATGCTGCACAGGACACGGATGGACACGCTGAAAAATGCAATTGCAACCACCCACAAGTGAAGAGAGAGCATTGCTTGCCAATGTTACAAATGCATGGTGCTCTTGGAGAGCATGTCCATCGAATTTTCACACCCACCCACACATGCACGCTGGCTGATCAAAGCAGCTGGAAGCAGGCCTTCTCGCAGGCGCTTATCGCTGCATTTTGCGACAGCCTCACCAAATCTGCAATTATCTGCCGGAACATTTTCCTTGTCGTATCAGCAGGCAACTGAAAGCCAGAGCATGCGCATGGCTTCAACAACAGCGCATCACCAAGGCACGCGTCACTGTCGATTCTCCTGACACGTGAGTGTGTTGTCTTGGCACGGGGAGATAACATAAACGTAGCTTCAGCCGTCTCCTGCTGCGGAACGAGTCCAGAAAAGCCGCTGCCGCATTCCACTGACCGGCCTTCCTCGAATAAACTGACATGAAGCGAGAATGAGGCTGGTCAGATTGCGAGAGAACACGCTGCGCTGCGTCACAAGCGTCTCACAGGCACTGAGAACACTGTTGCCGATGATCGTGTTCTCCTCGACAGAAGCGACGGTCAGGCCTGGCCGGGGGTCAACTCGGGACTTAATCCCCTGAAAATTCAAGTTCCGCAGGGGTGCATGTGCATGTATGCTCATTCTACGAGGGAGTTTTAACCTAAGCAGATCTGCATGTACACGCTCGTGTCCACTGGAAGCCGCCGAGTGACTGCAGAGTATTTCCAGCGCTAAGGACCACATTCCGGCTTTCTCACAAGCGGTGAGGATGGCTCCTGGGCCGCTATTGACATGGATATGTGCTGAGCAGAAAACTTCCACCTCGTTGCCAGAAATTGTTTGCCGGCGAAGGCTTGGCCCAATCACGATGCACCAGCACGACCCTTTGACAGCCAAGGCACCAAAAGCTACGACACCGAGCTGGAACCGCAGTGAGGTTGCTGAGAGCAGCCAAGATAGCGCCTGACGCCACCTAGGGCACTGACTTTTGTATCAACACCCCAAAGTTGGGCAAATCACCCTGAGGAAGCGACCCCGCCGCAGCAGCGGCCGCAGCTTCCGCCCCAATGCCTTGGCTCTGATGAGTGTGCAAACCGCGTTCAACTAAAGAAACAACTATGGCAGCACCGCCGCTTAGGCTTCGGCTGAAAAGAACAATACAACATCCCGCCCTGCGGCAACATACGCAAAGATGTCCAATTGAAAACTCTCTCAAACCAAAAAATCTCACGTCGTTCACGCCGCGGCTCGGACAACATCTTGGCTTGGGCTGCCCGGGCTGCCGGCCAGGTGGAGGGCCAAGGACCAGCGCCGCACACGCTCCAGCGCCTCGGCATAAAGATGTTTCTGGAGCCTCTTTGGGAAAAGTACAGTAGGAAGTGGCATGCAACCATACATGGCCTTATAGGCCAAGCCCGATACGCCCCGTGCCTTCTAAAGTTGGAAAGCTGCAATCCGACAACCTCCAACCTCCAATCTTAAAGATGAAGCCGACTCCCTGAATTTGAAGACCACAACTTCAGGGAGTGGGGAGGATCACTCCCCCAGCGCAGACTTTCAACTCAAACAAGGCCATTGACACCCCGGCACAAAGTTACTTGCATGTTGCTACTGCATCGGGAACTCAGGCTCAGGGCCGGAGCCTGGTCTGAGTGGCCAAATGGCTGACTGTATGCAGGCAATTTGTTGTGACAACTTGTGACACGGCATTTCTATCAGGAAAGTTGCTGTTATGGCGGAGCTGGTTGTAACCTCGTCCACTCTGACGGTGACTTTTCGTGTCTCCTGTAGGTGTGATCACATGGGTCTAAACACAAATTTGCGTAATGACCTCACCGGCGCTTTTTCTTGTTCCCAGAGAAAGAACGGTTTGATGCAAGCACAGCTGTCCTGGATCATGAAGATGGCGCACTGCCAGCGTTCAGCAAGCTGAAAAGCCTTCATCATCACACCTCGAGAGATCCTTGGCAGTCCGGACAAAACTGCATAAAACAAATGCTAGAGCCCGCATGGCTTCTTGCACGTCTTGGGTCGCATAGTGAACCTATTGGCAAGTTACGTGTGCGGCACGAAGCTTCAAACGTTGCCATCGGCCAAGGTGCTCGGTCGGCTGTATGCCCTCGCGTCGCATAGCCACGGTTGCCTCGCTCCAAAAGGTGTGGAACGAGACGTTTGAAGGCATGTCCGCATTTTCTGCGCCATGCCCGAAAGGGCCTCTGCGGCAGCTGGCCATCGGCTGCAGCAGCCGAATGAAGCTGGACTTGGTCGAAGCAGCGCCTCCGATCAGTCCAGCGAACACTCAAACCTCTACTTTTCGGCAAAGGAAAATGCACACACACACACACACACACACCCACACACACACACACACACACACACACACCCACACACCACCACACACACACCCACACACACACACACACACACACACACACACACACACACACACACACACACACACACACACACACACCCACACACGCCCACACACGCCCACACACGCCCACACACGCCCACACACGCCCACACACGCCCGCACACGCCCGCACACGCCCGCACACGCCCGCACACGCCCGCACACGCCCACACACGCCCACACACGCCCACACACGCCCACACACGCACACACACGCCCACACACGCCCACACACCACACACGCACACACACGCACGCACGCACGCACGCACACACACACACACCCACACACACCCAAAACACACACACACCACACACACCCACACACCCACACACACCCACACACACCCACACACACCCACACACACCCACACACACCAGCACACACCAGCACACACCCGCACACACCCGCACACACCCGCACACACCCGCACACACACGCCCACACACGCCCACACACGCCCACACACGCCCACACACGCCCACACACGCCCACACACGCCCACACACGCCCACACACGCCCACACACGGCACACGCCCACACACACCCACACACACCCACACACACCCACACACACCCACACACACCAGCACACACCAGCACACACCCGCACACACCCGCACACACCCGCACACACCCGCACACACACGCCCACACACGCCCACACACGCCCACACACGCCCACACACGCCCACACACGCCCACACACGCCCACACACGCCCACACACGCCCACACACGCCCACACACGCCCACACACGCCCACACACGCCCACACACGCCCACACACGCCCACACACGCACCCCAAAACTGCAGCCATACATTGGCTTCACGATGATATGGTAACTGACCCATAGTCCGCAATGCATAGATGCATGGACAAGTCTACGCATACGTAATGTGGGTGCCATGGGCCTTGCAAAGGGTCTGGAACAGGTCGACGGCTGTCTTCCAGCGGTCACTTCGCTCACAAGAGCTCAGCAATGAGTTCAAAGTCACCTTCAGGGAACAAATTGCCTCACGTTGCCTCTCTGTCAGGCATGCACTATCACATGAAGGCTTGTGAAGGTTGCAATGAGTGCGACATCGCCTCAGAGGCATGCAGGCCCTTCTCTTGGCCCCATCGAAGCAGAGCCGCGGACAAGCACCAGTGCCGGTGGCGGGCCAAGGCGCTGACGCCGGCACCAAGGCCTCCGGGATCAGCTGAATCAGCTGGCTCCGCAAGTCACAAGCTCAAGCCATTCTAAGCCAGGATACTGTACACATCCGGCTCCAGGCAAAGGCCGGCTGCGTTTTGCAGGACGAGCCTCGCACCTCGAAGCAACAGCCGAATGTCAGCCCAGCTGCACGCGGACGTTTAGGAATCACTCTTTGAGGTCTTCAATGCGACAAGCACAATCAAGCACACATATCTCCTTGTCCAAGCCACGCTCCCACTGATTTCCTTTGTCCAGGGCGGAAATCGCCTTGTTGTACTGCTTGAGATGGTGACCATCCTGCAATGGAGCACATGTGTTGGAGTGTAGACACTGGGCTTCTTCCGCAAAACCTGCAAGGAAAAACAAAATAATTTTGAGCGTTTCGGCACCTTCTGCTTGGGCTGGCCAATTCCGCAGTGGCCAGGTCTGCAGAGCCCGGCAATCGCCCGGCTCCATGACAATGCCATGCGGCCGCGGCCTCAAGTCAGTCATGCTGCGACGCCATTGTTCATTGAGAAGACCTTGAACAAAAGATGCCCAACAACGGGCAGCTGCTGCGACTCTTGACAGTCTTGACAGTGAAATGGCTGTGTGCGAAACCCCAAACCGCCCCGCCCCCGCGCGGCTGACGGACAATTGTCAGGTGGACTCAAAGGCATTGCATGCACGGCCTCGTCGCTGGGAACCGCCCATTCTGTTACAAGCCTTTGTTTTGTTGTGGCCGGGGGCCCTGCGGCCTCTTTCAAGCCCCAGCAGATTTACATGCTGACAAATTGCTAGAACACTTGTCCCTCGTGCGCTACATCCTGCGCCTAAAGCTGAGCAACACCCAGCGCAAGGTGTAATCGGCATGAGACTGACATGTGTAGAGCGAGCACCATCTGATCAAACGCACTAGACAGGGGTGCTCTGGGGGTGCTTGTAGAGCGCCTTCAAGCAGAAAGCTGTAGCTAAGACCCTGGCGCCGACCAGCGGTTCCATTTGCACCAGTACTGATCACCATGTCCTCCGACACATGACGCATCATCTGGACGACTGGTCGACATTCATCACATGGGCTTTCTTTTTCGGGCTGCTCCAGCATGAGCCACAAAATACATCCCAAACATCAACAAGCTATCCTGACAAATCCAAGCTCCTGGGAAACACGCGACCATGCTGGAAGGGCAGCGGGTCCGCAGCAGCATTGTGCAGCCAGTTAGCTCTGGCTTGTCATCTAACAACGGAGACACCACGAGGCAGCCCGAACCAAGTCAGCAAGTTGATGGGACCCAGTTCGAGACCGTATCTTTGGTCAGCTACAAGAAGAATCCAAACCCACACTTGGCCAAATTCAAAGAGACAAACCATGCCAGAGCCCAACAGCTTCGTCCATGCAACCATGGATGCGTGGCGAGACAAGCGAAACAACATTGTTTCCGAAGCTGCCAAGCCTGCTCTATTGGTCTCTTCGTCTCTCAGCCGCTTGGAGCTACACAGCACTACCATGTACCATGTTACAACATTCAACTCTTAGCCCACCACTGTTCTGTGAAGGCTTTAATCCGCCTGTCGACCGTGTCCCTGGCACAAATCAGATGGGACGAGCCCAAAACTGGCATGAGCATGCATGAGCAGCGTGATTCGGTCCAGATACCAGACATCATCGACATGAATGTCACATGGCGGGTATGCAGGCCTCGGAACGTTGTCTTTGATGGCGTTCTGCATCACACGTAGAAGACACAACCCCCCAAGCACTGCATTCTGTTCCCCAGCCCTTACGGCCTTGATAAAGCGATTGAGCATGGAGTTGGTTGAGGGATCCGGCCCGCCGTCACGCATGGCCATCGTGATGTTCCTCGCTGCACCACATGTTTTACATTCCGCAAAATGCTTGGAACATGAAACTAGCGAATATCAGCAAGTTGTGAGTTGGAGGGTGAGGCCGGCAAAGGCCTGAGCGTTTTTTGTCCATGTTTCTGGGTCTTATGTCTTCTGCACTGTCGCATGCTGACTGTGCAAGCGCACTTTTTGTGTTTCACTTTCACCAGCTGACGAGCCCAGATGTTGCCGTGTTCATCAGTGCTCTTGGTTGTTTGCGTTGTAATTACCTTCTCTGACCTTCTCTTCGGGCCAGTCAGATGTGTCCTTCATGAAAAATGCAGATGAAGGTGGGTGACTCTGCTATGCAAGCCAAACAATAGACCACTGGCTCAAGCCCTCCCCAAGGGCGGATTTCTCATTGACACATCACCTCGCCTCAAATGCTTCGCCGTGAGCGCTGCCTCCACCACAGCTGGCTCGGACACCAATTCTCAATTCTAAACATGTGCAATCACTTCAATCTTCCATGTGTCCTACGGCATAGCATGGCATTGCGACAAAACTATGCCCATTCCCGACAGCCAAGTCTCGACGATTCTCGATGTGAGTGGGACAGGTCGTGGAACTAAGACTGTTCCGCTCTTACATGGCAACGTTGACGTTGAGCCTGCTTCCGCTCAGCAGGCCTCGTCGGCACTATGACGGGCTAGAAAGGCCATTCTACTGGGCGTGCAGATTCCAGCTGCGTTGCATGTGCACACATCTATCACTATCACAAAGGGAAACAGCGCAACAACACTGCAGCCTCCGGCATGTGGAATTCTGGCTGGGCCTGTGACCCTTTCTTCTTCCTGATATTTGTCTCGTAGTTTCGGCCTCGAACCTGGGACATTCTGGTCAGGGTGCCCAGGGCATGACAAGGGGTAGCTGCGCCGCACGCCAAAGTACGGAAAGGCTCCAGCAACGATCCGGGCATCACCACGTGACCTGGTCTCCTGGGCTCGAAAAGGTGGAAATCTTTTGTTCTGTGCCTGTTGAAAAACTTGCTGCTGATGGCCAACAAAACAACACCAAGGTTGGCACTCTGCGGGCCACGGCTGTCATGCCAAGACCTTGAATGGTCTTGGGCTGTGGCCATCACTGGCTATACGATCCATACAAATTCACTCTTTGCTGTCTGCCCATGGTTTCCGAATGCACCGACAGATGCCGAAGTGCTGTCACACATTTTGTTTATCCAACGCAGCTTGGTTGCCTAGGAACGCCAGCCTACGCAACACAGAATGCAGGAAGCGTGACTGCACCCATTCTGAACACCAAGCAATCTCCACTCTGTGCACCTGCCTATGGCCCAAAGCACCAAAAGATGGCAGTATTGTTCCGGCCGCACGTGCCTTGCTGAAGTCACGGCATGTTCCCGGCAAACCTCTACAGGGAAGCCTGGGGTGCCTAAAAGCTGGGCGACTTGCTCCTACAAAACGTGGCCCTCGAGAATTGGATCCAACTTTGGGTCCGCGCGGAATACGACTGGGTCACCAAGAAACATCTATGTCAAAGCAATCGAAGTTCAAGGTGGGTCCGTGCCTTTTCCTGTAAATCAGGCCCAAACGATGTAGGGCTGGAGCAAGTCACGTAATAACGCGTAGGGGTTTAAGGTGTAGGGTTTCAGAGTCCTAGCAAGCTTATCCAAAAAAACGAAATCGTTTGTGCTACTTGTACCTTTCTGATTGCATCACGTTACAACGCAAGAGGCGGTGCTTTGACTGTGTGCAAACTGGCGGGGTTGGAAATCGGCAACTTTCTGGCATTGCATCTACAATTCTTCTAGTTTGTCCCGGGCAGCTACCTTTGCAAACAAAGGCTTGGAAGGATTGGCCATTTCACTAAAGTCTTGTTATTGTGATGCTATGCGAGCCCACGCTGCATTTGCCTTGCCGCTGGCAGCCGCCGCAGCACCAACAACATGCCTGCACACTCGTGCACGCTCACAGAGCAATGTTCTTTCTCCGCTCTGTTTCCGCACGCCCGGAAAGCCACGCTCAACAACTTACGTTTCGCACCAAGTGGATCGACATGTTGGCACGGCCTTCCAGTTTGCCGGGGACATGATGCGCCACAACTTCGGGCTAGCACCTTGCACAGGCAAAGCGTCCAAATGGATCGACATGGTTCACTATGTGCACAATAACATGGCAAAGTATATAGATGTCAATAGCAACCTTGCGCAAGCATGCCATTCTCAGCCTAAACATGAACATGACTTGGCACCAGGCTGACACAGGCGGACCCACGAAACCCAAATCCATTCCTATGGTGCACACGTCCCGGGCGTCGTAGCTTGAAAAAACTGCAAGCTGCAGGCGCCAACCGTTTGCAACACTCGTTCGGGTTCAGGCCTTGGGGCGTAGGTCGAGGCTTTAGAGCTCTGGGGCAAATTTGCGCACCCACAGCCACCCCCGCCCGCTAGGAGCCATGCCCATCGCTCTTCGTGGACGTCTGCGGTGAGAAAGACAGAAAGAGAGAAAGAGAGAAAGAGAGAAAGAGAGAAAGAGAGAAAGAGAGAAAGAGATAAAAATAGAAAGACAAAGGACAGAAAGACAGAAAGACAGAAAGACAGAAAGACAAACAGAAAGAAAGAAAAAAAAGAAAGAAAGGAAGGAAGGAAGGAAAAAAAGGGAAGGAAGGAAAACAGAAAGACAGAAATAATGAAATAAAATATTAAAGAACGAAGGAAAAAGACAAAGACAAAAAAATGGAAAGAATTTAAAAAAAAAAAAGTGTGCGTGGCTTTTCGGCCGCAAACTGTGCGGCAGCCAATCAGCCAATCCGATCAGCCAATCAGCCGATCAGCCAATCAGCTGATCGGCTGATTGGCTGACTGGTTGGCTGATAGGTTGATTGGGGGGGAGGTCCCCCCCCCCGCCGCCCCCCGCCCCCCCCCCCGACCCCCCCAATCTGGGGGAGAGTTTGGGGGGTGACGGAAAACCCAAAAGCAAAGTATCACTGTGGCACAGACTTTGACCCCCGGTGGTCAAGTATCAATCGTTCGAAGTCATCGAAAAGTTTGAGGCATTGCGTTCCAAAATTTGAGGCTACTTTGAGGCACGCCCGAGACTTCAATCGTGCAACAACTGGATTCACAAACAAATACATTTTTGTCTTCTCCTTCCAACTACACTCAATTGCAAATTTGAAGAGATAATTCTTGCGGGTTCGGCAACACACTATTTATAATAAAACTTTGCTATGAGAACATGACACCGAATTCAATGGGATTTTGGGGCAAGAGCAATCATAATTTGAAATGAATTTGAGGCACACAGCGAATTATTTGAGGCAAGCGCCTACGGTTGAATAAAGTTTACAATGTGTTGCGCGTGGGTGCCGTGCTAGGCTGGACGTAATTGGCGCTAATCCTAAACCCTAATAAATCCCGAGGGTGGGTTTCGGCCTAGCAGGCCGTAGGGTTCGGATTGCTCGGCCGAACAGGCTGTAGGTTTGTCAGTTCAAGGCCAAAAGATAGCAGCGAATCAGTCCTCGCTTCGGCCTGGTATCTTTGATCGATGCCATGAGAAAACAGTTAGACGTTAAGCCACTTTTTTTTTGAGGGTTGAGGGCTTGTGTAAGCCAATCTGTCATGGTGCGGGTGCGTAAGCAAATAGGCCTCATGGTGCGTAGGCAAACTTGGGTGGGGGGTGGGGTGGACCAAATTGATTTCATTATGCACAGCTCCAATATCAATTCTTCAGACACGGCGCCTACGACAAGTCTTGACATGGGATCCGATCATACAGCCGTACGCTGCAGAATTCAAATGCCACCGATCACACGAAGACCACGCAGAAAACCATTTGGATTACTCCGACGTCGTCGTGATTGCGAAACTGTTGCTGAACGCGCGCGTTTTTCCAAACAAATTCGGAAGGCCCTTCGAGCGCACCAGCGACGCGAATTGAATGACAAGATGACGAACATTTTATCGTCGGGTCGTGATTTTAAGCGATTGGAATCACTTCTTCCTACTCCCGAACATTCTCAGCAACATCACCCTGAAGAAGTACCATCAACGGAGGATTTTACCTCGTATCTTCGTGGTATATTCTCTACCGACAGTGACTGGGAGCAGACCTCGCACTCTTCATTTGCGGATATCTTGCCTTTTTTTCGGAGGAGTTGCAGGCCAAAAATCAGCGAGGGGCTAATGACGGTGGTCTTGTCGTTGAGATGTTCAAATTTGGTGGCCGAGATCTTCACCAATGCTTGCTTCAAATTTTCAATAACATGTTGGCCAGTGGCAGATTGGAATCTTCGTGGCAACACTCCCTCTTCAAAATGTTGCCGAAACCCGGTGATTCGTCTATGGTAACAAATTGGAGACCAATCGCAGTTCTCAAAATCACTCGGTGGACCACTCTGGCAGCGCTCGCGGCGCTCCGCGAGCGCTCCGCGCCCACGCGTGCACGCTGCTAGAGCTTCCAGTGGGTGAACCGGTTGACCCGCTCGACGGGCAGGAGCTCGCTCTACATCTGGCCGCGCCCAAAGCCCAGCAACCCGCGGGGCATGGGCCGCTGCCGCCCTAGACCCACTGCTCGTAGTAGCAGCCGCAGCAGCAGCAGCAGCAGCAGCAGCAGCAGCAGCAGCAGCAGCAGCAGCAGCAGCAGCAGCAGCAGCAGCAGCAGCAGCAGCAGCAGCAGCCGCAGCAGCAGGAAGAGAGCAGACTCCCCGCGAGTAAAAAGGTGCGTGAGAAAAAAAAACAAAAAAACAAGATCCTTTCGAAGCTCGTACATACGAGAATCCAAGATCTACTGGAGCGTGAACAGAGTTGGTATCAAATGGGTTTCCGGTCATTACTTGGAGTGGATCACGCGCTTGTTGTTCTTGACACGGTTTTGTCCGAAGGTGTGGAGTGGAATTTTGACGTTTGGTGCGCCAGTCTGGATTTGAAGAAGGCCTTTGACCGCATCGAGTTTTTTTTTTTTTCTCTCGGCCTTTTCCGACTGCAACACGGTGCCAGAGCTACGTTGGTCGAACTACTACCACAGCAGTTCAAACCACTTTTCGAGGCATTGCGATGTCAGGGTTTGCCCGACTGCTACATCAACTTATTGCAAACATTGTACCGCTCACAATCTGGATCAGTGAAAAAGGGTTCCCCATTTGACATCCAACGCGGGGTGAAACAGTGAGATGTTATGTCGCCCGCTTTGTTCAAAGCTGGCTTGGAGCACGCTTTCCGACAGTGGAAACAACGACTGATGGAGCATGGTCTTGACGTTGGAGCAGTCGAACGACTCACAAACATCCGATACGTCGACGACATCATGATTTACGCAAAATCTTGGCAGGAGCTTGTACATATGATCGAATGCCTCGCACAAGAACTTGGAAAGATCGGTGTGCATTTGAATGCATCAAAAAGCCGAATTATTACTACAGCCCACATAGACGGACCCATGATCCATGTACATCAATGTTAGTAATTTACCAGCGGTGAATACGTGGACTGATATTGCTGAAACAGCAAATTGGCCGCCCGCTGCAAGCCAGTACGTAAAAAGCTTTGCGAATGTATAGACCGAATCGTGCCAACACTCAAGCACGCCCCCATTCCCCATGTCCTTATAGGACCGTGGTCCACTAGCAGACTAGCAGCAGGAACAGTCTGATGTCTAACGCTTGTAATGTTTCACGTGGACCGAACGGGCGAAAGCGAAAGCGAGGGGCTTGCGTGCGGAACTGGGCTAAGCACCCGAGGTGCAGCTGGTGACGCGCACGTGTCGGGAACGGCCGCGGCGCGCTCTCTCCAGACACGCTCGGTTGGAGCGCTTCCAAACACACGCAACACGAGTCGAGCTCCACCTCCGGCGATCTCCGGCGCTCGCGGCGTGGTACTACCGGAGGAGAGCAAGGCTGCGGCGACCGCGAAGCGACGGAGAGGACCGGCGACGGTTGGCGACGACAGCAATCCGGTGTATCCGCCCGCGAAACGAGCCGAGCCATAAATATGGACAGCAGCGACTCTTATGAGACTTTTTGTCCTTTAGTTCTGTGCAGGCTGCGGCGGCACGCGTCAGGTGGCTGCCAGAAGGCGCACGGAACTGAGGGAGCGCGCTTAGAGGTGGCGGGCCGCGAGTGAAGCGGCAAACGTGAAGGGAGAAGGATGGGGGGGGAGGCAAAAAAACTGAGGCCGGGACGGAAGCGCCAGTGGCCGTGCGCCCTCCAAGCCGGTTGGGTGAATCGGGGGCCGGACAAAAACTTGCAATTGAAAGATCAGAGGCGGCCGTCACGGGGGCACCTGAAAGCAGCACAACAAGCAAACGCGACAACTAAGCCCTAAACCCTAAACCCTAAACCCTGCCTAAACCCTAAACCTCTCTGTCGTACTGCATTTAAACCCTAATTCAAAAGTCGGCAACGGTGATTTTGGGCCATCTCAAAAGTCGGCAACGGTGATTTGGGGCATCTCAAAAGTCGGCGACGGTGAATTCACCGTTGCCGACTTTTGAGATGCCCCAAATCACCGTTGCCGACTTTTGAGATGGCCCAAAATCACCGTTGCCGACTTTTGAGATGCCCCAAATCACCGTTGCCGACTTTTGAGATGCCCCAAATCACCGTTGCCGACTTTTGAGATGCCTCAAATCACCGTTGCCCGTTGCCGACTTTTGAGATGCCTAAAATCACCGTTGCCGACTTTTGAGATGCCCCAAATCACCGCTGCCGACTTTTGAGATGCCCCAAATCACCGTTGCCGACTTTTGAGATGCCCCAAATCACCGTTGCCGACTTTTGAGATGCCCCAAATCACCGTTGCCGACTTTCGAATCTTTCGAGATGCCCAAAACCGTTGCCGACTTTTGAGACGCCCAAAATCACCGTTGCCCCCACCCTCCCCCCCCCCCCCACCAGCCCCACCCCCCCACCACCCCCTCCCCCGCCCACCCCCCCCCCTCACCCCACCGACAGGAGGGGCTTCTAAACCGTAGGGTTTCGGGCTCTAAGAGCATAAAGGGCCTATTGTGGGCGTTAGGTTAGATTTCGGGTCCGCTGCCAGACCCCCTTGTTGCCGGGGGGGGAACTCCGTTGCCGCAACCAACAAACCTTCACCCTAATCCCTTACCCTGCACCCTGAAACCTAACCCCTTAAGCCCACAACCTTTAAAGCCCTAAACCCGAAGCCCCTATAGACCCAAAAGCTTGAGCTGCGACCTGACCTTGCCTCTCCAAGCCTGGGCCTGACACACTCAAAGACCAGAACCTCGACACCTTTCCCCTGGACCTTGGCCTCAACTTTTTTCAGCCCTCAGCCCAACCCCCAACCCAAAACCTAAAAAGTCGAAAAAGTTCAAAGTCATTTTACAAGCCGCTTGAATCATTGCAAACCAAGGCACTTTGGTTTTGGGGCCTGACACAAGCAACGGATTACAGTCAGCGAGAGACACAGACGGTGTTGAAGCCCAGCCTGTACCTCGTTTGTTGCGCCTGAGGCCAAAAACAAGGGGTGAAGGGATAGGGCTCCGAGTCACATTGGTATAGACTTACCGGCGCTTCATCCACTTCTCCTGACCCAGGAGCTGCCTGCTTCTTTAGGAACTTAAACTAGATTAGAGTTTAAGGTCTAGGGTTTAGGGCTTACAGGGGCGCCCTAGTTATAAGTAGCTATAAGGGCGCGGAGAAGCGCGTCTGAACACGAGCCCCCCACCCATGAGAGCGAGCCTTCTTTGGCTTGTCGTAAGACCTCAGTGCTAGTGATGGTGTAAAGCATCATCAGAAGCAGATACCACTTTTGAGGTAGTCGGTGCTTCCTTCAATCCCCGAAACCCTAAACCCGAGATGCTAAATCCTGCCGCTGCATGCCCTTGGGAAGTGATCCCCACCTTAAACCCTAAAGTCCTAAAAGATGTGCCGAAAAGTCGAGTTCGGGGTTCTTAGGGTCCTAAACCCTAAACCCTAAACCTAGCTTTGGGACTTTGGGGGTTAAAGGTTGTGGGTTCACCCCAAACTCGAGATGCTGCAGATGGCTCAGGCCAACCGCTCCACAGTGAGTCAGGAAACCCTAAACCCTAAACCCTACCCTTTGTGGAATGTAGGGTTTAGGATTTAGGGTTTAGGGTGTTACAAGTATACTGAGACAACCAGTAGGAGGCACAACCTCAGGGGCGCGAGTTTGGATCCGTTTAGGAACTACCCCTGAACCCGAGATCCTAAACCCTGAACCCTTAAACCCTTAAACCCTTAAACCCTTAAACCCTTAAACCCTTAAACCCTTAAACCCTTAAACCCTTAAACCCTTAAACCCTTAAACCCTTAAACCCTTAAACCCTTAACCCTCAAACGGCTGTGCGCAGTACGTGGCAAATGGCAAAGCAGTGCCACAGGTGAAACAAGATGTTGAGGGGAATGCATCCCTCTCCTCCATGATCCTTGTTGTAGTCCCTACAGGTCTGTGTAACATACTTCGTTTAGTTGCATGCTCAGTCTGTGCTCAACAGCTTAAGTTGTTAAGGTTTAGAGTTGAGGGATCTTGGAGAATGCCAATCGCCCTCACCGAAATAGGTGACCCCTGAAAACCCTGTATCATGCGCTACCAATAAGCAAGGAGACTGTTGAACAAGAATGTTCTTGCCTGCCCACGGTGACATATAAACCGTAAACCCTAGACTTTAAATGCTTTAAATGCTAAACCTTCCATTGGCACCTTGTGGTTCTACCGGGATCGTAAGGGGATCAAACCCGAGCTATTGTTAAAATACATGTGCAAGAGCCCTAAGCGTCCTTGCCAGGCCGGAATTTAGTCGCACCAGCCGAAAAGCCTGAGGCGAGCGAGTTTGGGGCTGGATGGGTTAAAACCTTAGTTCGCGATCGCGTTGTTGGAAGAACCCCCTACCCCTAGAGCCCTACTTTTCAACATATCAGCGGCACAGGCGTGGTGTATGCCCGCATCACACTCCAACGCACACACCACCGGTTGTTGTGCATCGGTTGCACATGCAACAACATGCAGACCAGGGAAAGCGATCGCAACAGAAGTTCCAACAACTACAACTTCGTTGGTGGAGACAGCACAACAACTACCACCATTACATTCCTTTCGTCTTAAAATTCAACATCCCACCAACACATTTAGAAGCACAAGAACAGACATTTATTCAACATTTCCAACCCAAACTCAATTTTCCACACATTTTGCACCAGACATGAAGCAAGCGTTCCGCGGTATTTCACAGCCAGCCAGCACGCAACAAAATATCAGCACGCAGCGGCCTAATCTGGACCCAGCTACGCCGCAAACACCTTCCACCATCCATTACACCATTACACAGCTCTCCCACCTTCAATCAACAAACACAGGTCTGGCAGACCTTATGTGATCTTGCTTCAAACGCCGGGCGCCGCTTCGATGGCACCCGTGAACTTTCAAAACAACACACACCCACAGCACAACTTTATGCCACCCACAAACTCTCACACAACCTACCACCAACCCGCCAGCTCCCAGCGACAAAAGACACTGCCCTCTCAAAACGCACATTTCCCATCCCGCGAGCACACACGCTAGCCATTTTTCCCTACCTATCACACCCCGCACAGGTGGCACAGACCCGAGAATACTTACGCCACCGCATTACTGTGTCGCGCGAACACACCATTCCTTTACATCCACCCACCACGACAGTGGTCTTCGCGAGACACCCTCGAGTACAAGACCAACCGTACATGGCAAAAGAACAAACCACCTGAGTGCACCTGCCAGCAATTGCGGGCCAAACATCCCGACCACACACACAACGACCACGTCGTCATTCCGCTACACAAACTCGCACCGGAACACCACTTTCTACAATACTCTGGCCGCAGCACAATTTTCCACCCATCAACACTCTCAAAGAAGACCTTTTACGATCCATCCATCGATGGCACCGACGACATCACCTTCCTTTGCCACACCCACAAGATCCGGACGCAACACAATTTTCGCAACAACAAATCAAGCTCCACGAGCTCCATCACAACAATCACTCCATTTTCACGCCACTACTTTCACCTCCACCCATCGCGAGCCCGACTCCACGCCATCCTGGTAGCACTCAAGACTCTAATCTTGGCACAGGGGCCTGCTAATCTTGCTAAGTCAGGGGCCCCGGCTTTTTTTGCAGGTACGCCACACTGATCAGGTCTGGTATCCACCATTACGCATAGTTTCGTTGGCATGCGTTTGCGTGATGATCACATGCCCCCTGCAAACCAGAGTAGCGCTGTCTGCATGTTGACTGTCGAGTTGTGAGCTCCTGATCGCATGTATTAGCGAAGTGCACACGCACACACACACACACACAGACAGCTGCCCTGCAGGATCCTATGCGTATTCGCTGTCTGACCAATGCTTGCACCCTGCACTCTTCCGATGACTGCTTCTCTCAGTTGGCAACTGCGGCGCTCTGAGCCCCGAGCACATCGACGAGGGCGTTTCTGTTCAGCGACTGGGCAGACCATAGGATGTGTAGGGTTCACGGGACAGAGCGGTTTTGAGGGACTTCAAATCAAACTGAAGAGAGGCACAGCTGTGTACGTGTTGCTGCTTGAAGGGGAGAAACTGTATTGGAAAAGCACATAGCAATGCCCCAAACTTGAAGCTTCACCGATTTACACAATGGGATTAGCAGCATCCTCGAAACCTGATGTCTGTGTATCTGTACATGAGCATACTTACAGGGAAACCTGCACATCCGAACATATTTAGGACTTGCCCTCCGGAAGTATTGCTGAGATAAGTTACACCACTGAAGACTACCTGGTTTGGACTTCAAGACCCCAGGACCCACGTCAAGGGAAACCGCAGGAGACAGGCGTCGAATACCCCGGCATTGGCCACCCGCAGCCAAAACACAGAACGCACGCATTATCTTTCAAACTAACAAGGGCCCCTACAGTTGCACAACAGTAAACTGCTTGGGAAACTAACAAGTTATTAACAAGACTTCCTACAGGGGATAACAACATT